TCTTGGGGAGAAGTTGCAAGCTGGAAAAAAATTTTGGCGGCAAAAATTTGCAATTAGAAAAAACATATGAATGTGGCACGTGGTAGCATTTTTTGTCGACAATAATTTGAATAAACAGGTTCGTCAAATTTAAAAATTTACAAACCGGAGCGATTTATAATAAAAAATCTCAACCGGAGTCGATATAGGAAACGCGACAGTTAGTACGGCAAAGAAATTGAAACGTATGTTGAAGAAAGTCGGACTTGCAAGAAATATACATGTGGATCCTGTTTTTTGTCCCTCTGAAAGAACTTTAAAATTGTGTACAAATTTCTTATGTTTTAAATGCAACCGTGGACACTAGCTGGCAGAGCAACTATTGTCTTCCTAGAGAGTTTTGCTTTACATAGAAATTTGTGCTCTTTTACTTTCATTTTTATGCATTTCAGTGCTGGTTCTTTTAATTCAAGTTGGCCTTCGGTTTTTAGAATTTAAATAAGTTCTCAGGAAAAAAAGTTAGCTTAAATAAGGCCATATGTGTACATAGTGCTTGAAAATATCAATTTTTCCCTTGCCTTAAAACTTTAAGCGTGGGCAACAATGATGTTTTCTAATTTGGGCAGAATTGAATATACGCTATCTGGGAAGACAATACCTGTAACATTTATTCTTGGCAGTATATCCAACCACAAACGCCTGTTAAGCATACAGTGAAACAATTTGTTATTTTCTAAGTTTGCGAATAAAACTTCACACTTAAATTTAAGTCATTGATAACATACATTTTATGAAGAAAGTCCCCGTTACGGCCTTCTTTAGAAAAAAAAATTTGTTTAAAATAAAAATAATCAAATCGGCCCAATTTAATCCTCCACGATAACGCTAGTAGCCATTTCTAACAGATTTTGGGTCGCTTAGTCAAAAATGGAAACATATATATTTGAATTTTAAGAAAACAAAGAACTATTTCTAATCGGCTAAAAACGGCTAACAAATCGGCTTCCGGCTAAACCGAAATTTCTCCGGCTGTTTGCTATTGAAACCGGCTAAATCTAGCCCGATAACGGCTAAAATGGCAACACTGATGATATGCCCAGACTTGTTTGTCTCAGTTTCAGTTTTGCCATCGCCGCGAGTTGTTTCGGTGTGCGCATAGTTATTTAAAAATATAAAGTTTGATGCCAACCGGGGTTTCTCAGTGGATATATAATTCATGTGAATTATTATTTGAATGTATCTATTTAGCCAAGGAAAAAGCAAAGCAGTATACTTAAACCAGCACTTCCAGCAGATATTGACCTGGGTTTTCGCACGACTATTCCTGTTTCATCGTTTCTTTTTAGGAAATTCTTACCCCCATATACATATGTATTATTTCCACTAATAACTATTTATGTAAATATGTATGTATTTTTTATGCTTAATATATGCAATTAAAAGAAGAAAGTAAACACAACAACCATCGAGTAAATTTTTATTTGTGTCAAACTGGAACCTTTTTTCTAATAATAAACGGTTAGCTGATTCATGTCTACAGCAAGTTCACAAAATGAATTGAAAACTTGTATCAACCAAAGCATTGTTTATATTTGCTCAACAATGATTTTATTTAACTAACAATATTGTCCACTCAAGGTAGTCGTTTTGTAATTATTAACGAATATACATTTGTCCAAACTAGAAGTCTCAAGTAAATTGCAGAGTTTCGTGAACTAGATATTTATTTCGCCATATCGAACTATGCCACTTTTGGTCACTATAACCAAATCTTGGTAATTATAACTAAACCTTTTTCTGAGTGTATATATATCATATCCAAGTGTCGGTAGTTTGTACCTTTTCCAAATTTTTAGAACTTACATTGCACCGTAGCAGTAGTCATCTTAAGTTTGAAATACTGGCAGCCGATTTCTCAGTGGATGTTTAATTATAATCAAAAGATTATCTCTTATTGTCATCTTCTCAGTGTACTTAATATATGACTAACTCACCACCACCTTTCATAAGATTTATTAATGGCGAAACCAGCTTTTCCTGTAAATCCTGTAAAACCTGCAAATCGTGAAGTTGGGTTGAGTTGAATCCAAACAGTTTGTTATTTTGCGAAATCCTAGGAAACGAAACAATTGCAAGCTGACACCTTTTTAATAATGGTTTTAATTTAATCAATGCTTTCAATCTGCTCGCGCGTATGAGCTGTCAAAAACTATTGTTTTGAACATGTAAACCTCAAGTAAATGTCAATTACACCAATTCACAAAAGTATTTATTAAATGTAAAAATCAGTACAAAATCAGTACAAACTCAAAAAATCAGAAGATTTCGGGATCTTAAAAATCAGTACAATAGAAAAAAATCAGCACATGTACTGATTAAATCGGCGCATCTGGCCACCCTACTCGAGTTATCGTGTACACGGACGGACGGACAGACGGACCGACAGACAGACATGGCTTAATCGAGAAATCGATTCATTCTGAGCATTTATGTATACATTTGTCTATATCTATCTCGATTCGTTTTGGCTGTTACAAACAACCGTTATGTGAACAAAATTAATATACCCGCGCTCGGGTATAAAAAGGTAGTTAGAGATTTTTTATTCCAAAAAATAACTTCGACTCCACTGAATTATCTTCTCCACCACTTCTGCACCATGTTTCAACTCAATACATTGTATCACTCCTAGAATCAGGGTCTGTTCCAAATAAGGATATTAGGGATTTATTTTGGAACGAATTTCCGTCATCCCTTGTCAAGTTTGGTTTGCAGACAAACCGGTTTCGGCGTTGTGCCATCTTCAGTGTCATTTTTCGTTCTCAATATTAGGGATTTCCCTGCAATACTCAATCAGTTGAGTGTTGCGTTAAATTAGTAACGGAGTCAGCAGAACATGTTGTTGGCTAGAAAAATAGGGATCGTTTCATTCGAACTACGTTGCTATCCAGAGAAATTATACCTTACAAACAAGGCACACTTCAACGTGAGGAATTAATAAATCAGTCAGGGACAATAGAATTTATTATAGTTGGTTGGGAAGGGCGTGGATGGAACTCTTGTTGCAGCTACCTTCCCGTGGTGAGTTCTGAGACGAGTTAGATATGCTGCCCGTGCGAAGAGCTGCATACAAAAAAAAAATTTAATATGACATGACAATAATAATAATAATAATAATAATAAATATGTATACTTACATATAAAACGCTATCATATAATGTGTTGAAATATTACTCCTAGATGTTTAACATAAACCATAGCAGTTGTAAGAAAAATATTCGAAAAGCAACAAAATTTGTAATAAGCGACTTACCTCGGATGAGAAACTTTTCCACCTCAACCAGAAAACTGAAGGGGGGGCCAAGGAAATTGTGCGATGGTGTCCTTTAACCAAAGATGGCTTTGAAATGGCCTGGAAAAGTTTAAGCGACAGATAGGAAAATGGGTGCATTCTTTTGCAACCGAGCTACGGAAGAACCTAGCTTACATGACGAAATACATGCAAAGCAACATCACAAACTCGGTTATTTATCCGAGTTCAGCCAGGTCGGTTAAAAAATACGCGACCGGAAGGGTAGTGTTGGTAAGTGAAAAAACTGCTCTATTGTGAATTGTTAATGGGAAAATGGTGAGGAAAATTTTTGTTTCCTTATATAAATGATTTGTATTTTATATAAGTATATAAATATATATATTACGCAAATATTTCGCATAACTACTCATTTCTATTGGTTTTTGTCTCTATATCCCGTTAACCTAATAACATTTTTCTTTCCAGATACCAACAGGTCTGCTTAAGTAGCTATAAGGAAATTTTACCCGAGTTGAGGGTTCTTTTGACGCTCGTTTACAAAAAAAAAACGCGGCTAATAAACGCATTCTACTAAATACGCTATTGAAAATTTTGTTCAACCTCAACGCAGTAGAGAGCAAATGCGGTAGCTCTATCAAGAAACTGCAACGAGACATAAATAACTGCATCTCGTCACTCCAATTTCATAATATTCCCAGTGGGAAAATGAATGTATAGTAATCGAAAAAATAATCAGTAAGACAACCCTTTTCACATTCGAAAATGCATTTTTTCCCCAGGGCGATGTCCTAGTATCGAGAAATAAACGTGTTTTAATATGAAATTTTTGCAAATTTTTGAATACATTAGAATGCTGATTACATTGTTAGCATTAATATTATCGAGCACGCATAAGAAATGCATTATATTATTTATCACGCACGTAATGCATTACTAATTTTCCGACTGGGATTGACATTTCTAATTGGGATGCAATTCTAACGTATATTTGTTCGGCTAAACTACCAGAACATACATTGACGCCATGGGAACAGACCATAGATAATAAAACAGAAATTTCTAAATGGAAAGACATGGATAGGTTTTTATCTAACAGGTTTCAGACGCTTGAAACCAACTGATCCGAACCCCGAAAATGGCGTAGCTTCAACGTCAGAACAGGTTAGGTTGAGGTGCGAAGGTGAAAGAGAAAATAATACCCAGACTTGCAATGTTACCTCCTGTCATGCCAACACAAATAAAGGAGTGTTATTAGGAACTGCCCGTGTCAATATCCATTATATTGGCGTTAGTTTTCCAGCTGGAGCACTAATTGATTCTGGCGGTCACCTATAGACCCATCAATTGTTATAGAAACCACTGCCCTAGTTCTGCCTCGGTTTACAGAGGATCCTCCGACTTGCCACGTTGGTGATATGACACGAAAGGCATTTCCAAACTTGGTTTTGGCAGATAAAAGATTCTACGACAACGAGCTAATTGATCTCGTATTAGGTGTTCTATTCAACTGCGGTCACATATAGACCCATCAAATGTTATAGAAACCACTGCCCTAGTTCTGCCTCGGTTTACAGGGGATCTTCCGACTTACCACGTTGGTGATATGACACGAAAGGCATTTCCAAACTTGGTTTTGGCAGATAAAAGATTCTACGACAACGAGCCAATTGATTTCGTATTAGGCGGAGATGTTTACCCACAAATCATGTTAAGCGGCATACAGAAGAATGCTCTTAATACGTTTCTTGCCCAAGAGACCATATTCGGTTGGATTCTGACTGGTTGCGCGCAAACACCGAATCCAACCTATAAAAAAAGTATATTTTTCAGCAAATTTTCAACATTTCCTACCCACCACAGCAAGGTTAAAAACTGTAACACGCGGCTGGTTGACTCAACAGGTAGAGGACTTAAAGTGCATACACAGACATACAATTCTTTGGGGCTTCAGGATACTTGATCACAAGAAGACAATCCAAAACGGCCAATAAAGGAAAGGGACTCAAACAGAACTCAAAAATACAATAAGATGTACGCTCATATGAGAACGAATGTAAACCGTAGTGATATTCTCCACAGTAATTCGAACCTACCGAGGACTTTGAGCAACAAATCAAATAATATGAGAGACTAGCAAAGAACTCGTCAAAAAAGAAAGTGTTCTTTCAAGCCGGAGTCTTACTTAAATTCGGCTAAAAAAGATAAAGCTCGATACCAGATTCTCAAAACCATTCGGGTGAATATGCAAAACAACATTACAAAAGGATCGCATCGGACCACGAACTCAGCACTCTTCCATGCCGAGATGAACCTTCCCTTAATCCGACAGTTAAGTCCCACCACCAACAATAGACATCAATATTTTTTAAAGTCCAACTTTCAAAGACCCGCACAAGGTTAGATCTACTTTCGTCCCACCAAGGGTACGAAACATAATCAACCAACTAACGAGTGGATATTAGGAAAAGTTGTCAACGTACACCCCGGTTCCAACAACCGAGTGCGTGTAGTGGACATCGCGACGGAGAAAAGACAAGTTAGGAGGCCCCTCGTAAAATTTGTCCTATTTCGTGCCAACAACGAAGGAACCGAGGTCCAGGAGCCACCAACCACTTCGTAAAAAACATCATTATCCCACTTCCTCTCTGACCACACCATTCCACTTCTACCATTGAAGTGATTCCACCTCAAAATCCCACTTAATACCGGTCTCAACCTGGTATTCGTTCACAATACGTTTTCTATCAAGACGGTTCTTGACCGGGTTACCCCGGGTCGATCTGGTGATATATAACCGACCATCGTTAGATCTAGCAGGCAGCAAAAAATACTCACAGCATAGTCATGGAATATTCTGCCTAGAAACACATGCAGAGATTAGAAAACTAGCGACCTTCATGAGTAATTGACCCAGGCTTACGAAACTTAATGTCACCGTATCAATATAGCCCCGATTGCTCACTGGGCGTGCAGAGATTAGAAAACTAGCGACCTTCATGAGTAATTGACCCAGGCTTACGAAACTTAATGTCACCGTATCAATATAGCCCCGATTGCTCACTGGGCGTGCTGGTTTTCAACCGTAAACCATATATTTCTTTACAAATAAGAAGTCAATGCCCCTGGCAGGTTTTGATAGCGACCAAACATATTGAATTCATTTATCAAAACTTGCAGGGACAAATCATTATTTAGAGATCACGGTACTCATTAAATCGGCACTAAAAACTTATCCGATATCGACACGTTATTTAGAAAAAAAATCGTAAAATATATAAAGTGCCATGATTTCTTGCAATAAATATCGAATTCAAATATATTTGCTATAACTTACAGTACCATTATGCAGAACCAAGAAATGTGTGTACCTATGTATGCAAAAAATCCACTACTAGAGCCGGGATACTATCGATAGTACCGCCACTCGATAGTTTTCGAAACTATAGTTGAAAACATCGTCGTGAAAGATATTGAATTGAAACGCTCAATTGCTTGAAAATTAAATAACTATTAAATTTATAAATTAATTTGTAAATTAAAGAGATTATATAATTTTTTTTTAAATTTGAGTACATCAAAAAGAACTTCTTATAATAATAAAATAAACTTCAACTAAACAAATAAGTGAAATTGGCTGTAATAACACATTTCTAATACTACAAAACAAAAGATATTCGCTTAAATTGACAACTCATACCATCTCTGAGACACTACCTTTCCGAATTTCGAGAATAATCAAAATCGGTTGACGTGGTCCAAAGTTAAGCGGTAACACATACAAAAAAAAAAAAATATTCCGACGAACTGATAACCTCCTCCTTTTTTGGAAGTCGGTTAAAAAGTTCAACTGAGATCGAATGCGGAAGCGCATATCAAAATCCGGACAAAGGAAATTTTTAACATTTTACCATATTATAAGAAAACGTATATAGTCCTAGTTAAAATAATAGCACCACAACATTTTTAGCAGTTCTGACTATTTTTTTTGTTTGTTTAGTGTCTACTAATCTATATACCTATATAAATATGAATGTCTGTTTGTTTATTTATTTATTTATTTATTTATTTATTGAGTCTATGAACATACAAAAGTTCCATACAGATTAGTCAACAAAATTCAAATTAATTGATAACACAGGTTTACAAAAAAAAAAACGCTTATGCATATTAAACCGAACCTATACATCCCTATGTTATTCGACACGCTGAATGCGAATCCGAAGTCCGTTAGTCTCCATCACGTCAGGTTCGTGGTCAGTTGAAGGTCAAGTAGGGAAAAATTCATTGAAAATGAAAAATTCATATACATAAGGTTTTACATTCGCTGAACCCGAATCCGAGGTCCGTTAACCTCCATAATGTCAGCTTCGAGGTCATTAGAAGGTCAAATAGCACATAAAATGTATTCAATAAAAATTAAAAAAAAAAAAAATAGTTTTTGTTGTCACTGAAACCGAGTATGGAGGTCCCTTGATTCCTCAAGGTCATCTGGAGGTCATGCCCAGGTCAAATTCCGATGAATTTTATTGAATTTTCAGGTTTATTCAATGAATTTTTCCCTACTTGACCTTCAAATGACCACGAACCTGACGTGATGGAGGCTAACGGACCTCGGATTCGCATTCAGCATGTCGAATAACATAGGGATATATAGGTTTGGTTTAATATGCATACACTTTTTTTTGTAAACCTGTGTAATTAAAGAAATAAAATTTATAAAATTGAGTTCAACAGATTTTTGAAAACATTTATCGAGCAAGAAAAATCAATAATTAAATTTTTAGAGATCATATTGAATTCATTAATCGCGTGTGCAATAGGAGCATTACGTGCATTTTCTGTTTTGTGATTATCCCCAAAAAATGGGGGAAAAATTCGTAAGCTACACCGAGGAATGTTGAATAAATTTTCTCAATATTAAACGTAAAAGACAAAGAGAGAGAGACCTTCTTATCTCCAAAGACTTAAGATTTATTAATAGTAAGCGAGAACTATAAGATGGTAACGGTTCGGAAAAATTTAAGTTGCGCAAAGCGAACTTTAGGATTTTTGAACACGTTCAATTCGATTTATCATGTTTTTGAACACGTTCAATTCGATTTATCATGTTTTTATGGCAAGGCCTCCAAATAATTGCAGCATATTCTAAATTGGAGCGAACAAAAGACGTAAAACACAGTTTGAGGGTATATGGGTCAGAAAAATTTTTGGTATTTCGCCTCACAAATCCAAGCATTGCGTAAGCTTTTGCAACAATATGACAAATATGGCTATTAAAAGAAAAATTTGAAGAAAAAATTACGCCAAGGTCTTTTATCTCGTTGACAGAAATTAATATTGTAGTTGAAATATTATAAGGCGTAGCCACGATATTGCAAATTTTTGCATAGGTGACTTTGAAACATTTTTTTAACATTCAAAGAAAGACACTGCACTGGTGCACTAAATATTACCAACGATGCAGGTTATCAATTTCAGCTTGAAACTTTGTCGCATCAGATGAGTTCTTTATGATCGAAAATATTTTTAAATCATCTGCATATAGCAAAAAATTTGCAAAAGTAAAGCAAGTATCGTTTATGAATAAAACAAAAAGCAATGGACCTAATATACTCCCCTCAGGAACCCCAGAGGAGGCTATAAAAGGTTCTGAAGTTGTTCCATCTACGGTGACAACACAGCGTCTGTTACTTAAGTAAGACTTAATCCAACGCAAGAAGTCGGAATGAAAACCCAAACATGCTAACTGGCTAACTAATATCGAGTGTGAAACTTTATCGAAAGCCTTCGAGAAATCTGTGTAAACACAATCAACTTGATATCCACTTGAAAATATGCAATGCAGTCTCAGTAAAAACAGCTAGATTGGAGACCGTTGAGCGACTAGAAACAAAGCCATGCTGATTGGGTGAAATTAAGCCCTAAGTTGCAAAATACATTTTTTCTACTACTATATCTTCAAAGAGTTTGGACACCAAAGATAACTTTAATATTGCCCGATAATTACATACATCACTTTTATTCCCACTCTTAAAAAGAGGGTCAATAGAAGTCATCTTCCAATCATCAATAAATACCCCAGAAGCTAGTGATTTATTAAAAAATAACTTCAATGGGAAAAATGGGAAAATTAAAGAGGGACAGTTTCTCAATAATACACCTGCCAAACCATCAATGTCAGTTTTTACAGACGGTTACAGACTCGCAACGTCATTCGACGACAAACTTAAAGACCCAAAATTAAGAGAAGAACTCGCCGCAAAATCACAATCTGGTTGGGTCATCAGAACTAAAGTTAGAGCTGAAGAATTCCGCAAACCGACATGCCACATCAACTGGAAATCGAGCAAATTTGTCATGAAAGAAACCAGCTGAAGGTATGCCGGAACTAGATTTCTTCGACTTAATGAACTGCCAAAAAGTCTTCGGGCTAGATTTTATATTTGATTCAACATTAAGTATGTAATTTCTATGAAGGAATTTATCTAAGCAATTAAATTTCTTTAGATGTTTTTGATAATGTAAAAGAAGATCTGGCTTCCCGTATTCTTGAACTTTTTAAAGAATTTATTCTTTAGATTCTTTAACCTTTTTAATTCGTAATTATACCAAGGTAGCTTATAACTCCTTTTTTAATAACTGGTATATTACTTACACAAAACCGATGCACGATAGTTTTAAAAGTAGTAGAACAATTGGACACATCGGAGCTAGCCAAAACACATTCCCAATCGATATCAGATAGTAACCTATTTAATTTTGAAAAATTACAAGCGGAATAGTTAAAGGGAAGGTTATAGGCATAGAAACAAAAAGGCAGTACTGGACAAGAGGGCGTCGCACCTCCTATACTAACTAAAATCTTCATGTTGTATATCTCTTGAAATATTTGCGGTAGAGCATTGGAACTTGGTGTCGAGATAAATAAAATTAATTTCATACTCATGGGAAAAAATGGGCGGTATTGGAAAAGGGGGCGTGGCACCTCCCATAGGCGTGAATTATTTAATCTGCTCTAACTTCGGAACCGTAAGTCACATGAACTTGAAATTTGACATATCTATTGTAGGTGCTTATAGTAAGGTATACAGTGAAACCCGCTTAAGTACCCCCCGCTTAAGTAACCAACATTTTTGGGCACCGTGAATTTTTGAATGTAATCTGAAGAAAATCCATCTCTTAAGTACCTCCTCACTTATGTATTTACCCAACCCGCGTAAGTACCTAAATTTTTCGTACCCCATTTACCATTTTACTTATAATTTTCCTCTTTTAAGTGCTCTCTTATAATTCCTTAAAATAATTACATATTTTGAAACTCAGTGGCAGCACTACACACCTTCGGCAACCTTCTAAAAAATCAACGGTAATTTTTAGCCACTTGAATCTTCCACATTATTACACTAAAATTTAATGGGCTATAAAACTGTATAATCAGAAAACACTTCTGAGAAAAAAATTTTAAATTTTGGTGAATTTTTTTTCTTTGAGTGTTCTACAAAATTTTAAGCTTAGGTTTATACGGTATTTGTTAGGGAATAAACTGTATTTTAATTGGAAAATCTTAAATTTAATAAATAAACACAAGTGGCAAACAAAATCATTTTGAATTTGGTCCAAAATGATATGTCCAACACTGTTTGTATGTATGTATAAATATGTATAATTAATGACTTTTTAACGAATTTAATTCTTATAAAAATGACATACTATTGCTTTATCTATTTTCTTAAAAAAGTTATTCTTTATTTGTTTATGTGTTTAAATTAGGGATGCGTATCGCCAATGAAAATTCGGTATATCGGTATCGCGATATTCTAAATTCACAATATCCGATACCGATATATCTACTAAAATAATATCGATATATTGAATATCGGAAATATCGAAAACAAAATGGTTAATACAGATATATTTCTTTTCCGCACCACGTATATTTGTAATTAAAATGCAATAAGCATAAATTCAAATAATGAAGTTACTTTGGATAAGATGCACTTTAATGAGTTTGAAGAAATAGTAACTGAGTTCAGCAACTTTGATTTACTCCTTCTCACAAGCAAGACTAATATTTTCAAAAGACACCCCTTTTCATATATATATATATGCATGTATTTCTAGATGTGAAGTACAAATACGTAGTACCGTTCAATTGGTTTTCCAGATGACCTCAAAACTTCAATTGAATCTTCTGAAGCCTAAAATCCCATACAGCAGCTCTGGATTGTCTTAATAATAATAATAATAATAGATTGGCGCTTACACATAGGTCAGTGTTTGGCCGAGCTTCTCCTCCTGTAGATTGTCTGGATTGTCTGGATTGTCTTAGTTAACTAATATTATTTTTATGCAAGAAGTACTTTGCCTTTGCTGTAGAATTTACGAGCATTTATTTCTTGAAAATTGCTACTGATTTAAGAAATTTTGATATTTTCATTTCTTCATGATTACTACGCCAAAAGCTGTTATGTGAGAACGAACACATTTTTCAACTATGTACTCAATTTTATTTTCAATTCAGAAGCCTATATAAATTAACCGATATGTTGAACAACGATATTGATATATTGAATATCGTATCGGTATCGCGCATCCCTAGTTTAAATAATGTTACGGGCTTGGTTTTAAACTACGTATACTTTATTAAATGTTCATGTTTTATTCAACTATTTACATATTTATGTAAGTTAACAAAAAATTGTAAATATATCAATAATTATGTTCGTTAAGTACCCGCATCGAGGTACTTAAGCGGGTTTTACTGTATATATAAATGAGACTGTGAAAGGGAGCGTGGCGAATCCCAAAGGCGTGGAATATTTACCGGCTATAACTTCGGAACCATAAGTCACATAAACATGACATTTGGTATGCAGACATATCTATGGTAGGTGCTTATAGTAAGGTATATACAAATGAGTTTGTAATATAAAGCATAGCACTTAATATAGGCGTGGAATTTTTTATCAGCCATAACTTCGGACCCCTTTAATTCCTTCTGATGTGGGGTGAAACCCGCGGGTAAAAGCTAGTTTTTTATAAAAGTTGTACAAAACATAAAGAACTACAAAATCATTAAAATTTCAAGCTTTTTAATTCGAATTTCTATACAAATTTCCAAAGCTATCGATAGTGGCGACAGTTCTCAGTAATATCGATAGTATCCCAGCTCTATCCACTATAAGTGAGTATCGATCTCTTAAATCGGACTCCAATCAAGTTTTTAGTTAGGTCATCCAGGTCATCCACGGAATATCTGACATTTAAATGTACCACTGAAGAGTATTAACACAGCACCGGTATGCAACCTCAAACAACATTGCACAAACATTTTTCAGTATTTAGTAAAAATTGCTTGAATAAATCCATTTTGGCCCAAATTGCATTCAACTGCATATCCAATATATATGTAATTTATTTTAAGATTCTCAAAGACCGCCCTCCAATCGGAATTTACCATATCACCAAATACAAATATCAAAAAAAGGCAACGGTTTTCTCTTTTATTGCGGATCGACTGCAGTGCTTATGCATTTTAAAACACGATACAGCAGGGCTTCGAAGTAAAGGTTTTCTTAGGGATGTGCCGGGTATCCGGTAGATATCCGTCATCCGGCTTATCCGGCTTTTTTGCTGTTATCCGACTATCCGGCCGTATACTAACTAAAATCTGGCCGGATTTCCGGATTTCGATTATAGAAGATTTTATTTAAAAATCTAGTTAAGAAATTTATTTTTTTTTATTTTTATAGTCCAATTTAATGTTAGATACCATTAGTAATTAAAGTAAACAATTTTAATATTTTTTATTATGAAAATATGTATTTCCGAGTTATCGGGCTAAAATCGATTTCTATTTTCAACATAAATGCTACCCGATACACTAAACTCACTTTCTGGGTTCACTGAGGAAGGCTGTGCACAGAGATACTTCATTGCCAGTATAAACAAATTTCGAAATTCTTTGCGAAGGACCTACAGTTTTATGCCGACTCCGAACGGTGATTGTGTTTTTATGAAAAGCTGTTTCTCACGGCAGACAATTTACCAAAAATAA